TTAGTAGGTACTATAGATCATTCAATGATTGTTTTTTTTTATTCTGTGGTATCATGAATTATTATATGTAGGTAGTATATTATGTACATTGTACTCATAATAATATAATATACTGTAAATGGTGTGGCTCACACCGTTACAACATTTTTAATTTTCTTATAAAAATATCTTAATACAAAACTCAAATTGGGCTAAATGTTGAGTTCAATTTCTACATTTTATAGCTTTTACTCACATGTTGAATTTTGATAGTGAAAAGTGAAAAMATTATCAATTTAAAATAGGATAAGATTTCTGCATAGTGCATAATCATATGTTTAGTAACACAAGATCAGTAAATTATAAATAATAATAGTGTAATAYATCTGTAGTTGTATTGTTAATAAATAATAAAAAACAAAATGCTTAAGACCTAATAGATATTGGTATTGTACACCATTAAATTAATTTACCACTTAATATTTAATAACCTCATGAAAGTAAATCACGGATTTCGTTATTCCTGATGTAATAATTATCATGCCTGGAGGAACTCTGTTTAATGATCAATTTGAATTACATAGTAGCATTCTAATTTCTACTGTTGAATAAGTGATGAACATTTTCAATTCGAGATTTAATAATATGTTCACCTATACCGACCGGTCCCGAACCATAAATTAGTGGGTAGTTGTTAACGATCATGTCAGCGATTACGTTTTCATTCAAAAGAATAAAGAATTATCACTCATACTGTTTATATCAAATTTTCAAACGTTATTTTCTGAAATATCTGTGTTAATTTTTTTCAATATTTATATAACAAATATTGTTGATGTATATAGGGGTCTTCAATATTTTTATTCAAAGGCCATACAAATATCAAGATCTTTTAGTGGGCCAAAAATACTTTAATACTTTATTATTTTTATCTTATAGAAATAAATAARTAGTTTAAAGGATAGTTCTTATAATATACTTAAATATACTTAGTTATAAAATTAAAATACAGGTGATAATTATTGACACGTGCGAGTGAATGCGATTTTGGTTATTAGTTTATTACAAATAACATTTTTAGATTATTTAATGTCTTTTGGGAGGATAGTCGRTGAAAACTTGTTTAAGGGCCGCATCTGGCCTGCAGGCCGTAGTTTGGAGATCCTTGTAATATATTATAGTATTATATTGTTCGCGGTGTCTGACTTGTGAAATAACTTCATACTATTATATCTTTTTATCCTGGCATAACAATATTGTTTGAATAACCAACAGATACGTCGTTAGATATAGGCATTTACTGTTTAGACGTTGGCAAAGTACCCATTTTATCTTCTTTACCATGAACGCCATAATTGTATTGTTTGATCGTCACCGCTATACTTCTATGGTTTTAGTAAAATGTCTGTAACAGTTGAGTCTTAAGTAGGAAAAAAAGTATAACGTAACAGCTGGAACTAACTTGGGTTAGTTTTTTTAATATTGCTTAAAAAACGATAACAACAACATTATTAGATTTCAAAATTTGTATTTATTTCACGAAATGAAGATAATACTATATTCTTTATTTTTTCGGAATGGTTAAATATATGTATAGGTACAATTACTAAATATACCAAACTTAAAATGTTAACTTTTCACGGTTGTGCAATCATATTAAAAGAAAGATGAAGTCCAATTAYTACAATATTATAATAAGTATAGCTGGTAACATGGACGAYGATACTGCATTCAACTTGGATRCAATAACAATATTATATTATATTGATATAAGCATCGAGACAAGAGTTGGAAGTAGGTATAAATTCAACTATTCTCGGAGTAATTTTTTTCCTCGATACTCAATTCCAACGTATATAGCAGGTATAATACAGGAGTCATAGCGAAGTGAATCGCGAGTATAAATCGTTCGGCATTTTCGTTTTGCATAATGCAATATCGTGAAAATCGAGATGGCAGAGGRTGTGGRACGATTGGGAACATTGCATTTGTCATATTACTATTACAGCGACTACAACGCTACAGCCGTTCTCTATCGTAAGTCGTAGGTGGTCTATATTATAATATAATATGTTCATCTAACCGTTTTTCTATTTTCTCTTCGCACATCAGATCTGTCACCTTGTTCGTTCCATATGCTTCTGCTAACCAGGCATGCTGCGTACCTACTTCTTTATTACATATTATATATATATTTTTTTTTTCTAACCAATTGCCACCCCTCCAAGTGCTTTTGTGAGAGGGGGTGGTTGATGAGGATGTATTGATAGTGTACATGTGTGTGTGTGTGTGTGTAAATGTGAAGTGGATCAGACCGGATATGAATGTTTGATGGGTAGCGGCGGCGGCGTATAGTTATAGCCGCTAGCCACGGCCACGCCGTAGGACGCGCGCACCCCCGCGACGACGACGATTCGCCGCCGGTACGACGACAACAGACGCTCGCGCGATCACCACCGCCACCAGTAGCACACGCCACAACGATGGCGTCGAACGCTCATCGCCACCGCCGCCGTCTTGATCCGGTTGGTACGACGGTCGTGATGTTGATGTTGCTTCCGGTGTGGCTTGCCGCCGCAGTTGCCACTGAAATCGCCGGGGCCGCACATTATACCAACCAGTTTGCCGTCCGGGTGGCAGGTATTGGCGGTGATCACGGACAGCAGGCGGACAGAGTGGCCAGGAAACACGGATTCCTCAACCGTGGACAGGTCAGTGTTTTTTTACATTTGTTTTTGATGTCAAGCACCTACATTGTTACCCACATTATAGATACTGTATTTTTACTGGTTTTATAATTTATATTATATATTTTTTAGTCGTATTATAAATTATATTTTTTAATTTATTTCTCTGTTATTAAATAATGTTTTAGTCGAAACGCGTGAAATAAATAGTCTATAGTACATCCCTTACAAAATTGGAATTCCAAGTGTTGGGAATTGAGTCTGATTATTAGTACTTGTGTTACTTGTGAAATGTTTATGTTTTGTTGGTGATTTAGTGGTTATACCCTAAACGTATATCGAGAAACTACGGATAAGTGTTGCAGAAATTAATAAATTTAAGCAAACACTGTTATAACAGAGACGTATGGTTCACAAATCATTTTTCAAATCCCATGATTTATTGTGGCTTTCATATTAAATATTTTAACTTTCTACAATCTTGTGCAGACGTGCTAATGCAAAACATTGGTGCCCTTACTCTGTTCGACTTTTTTTGTCAGTTACTGAGCGCGTATTCATACGTACTACTGGTAATTCACTGCAGAAACTTAAAAATATAAAGTAAACACACTCATTTAATATATCATAGTATAATTACTATAATTAAATAACCATACAATTTACTATTACCAGAAAACTGATGTAACGATCAGATTATATCCTCATCATATATATTGAAACAAAAAAATCCTTTCTTTCGATAGATTTGATACTCTTAAGAAATACATTTTTAAATTAAAAAGGAAATAATATCCCAACAGGTATGATTACTAGTTGTTTAATTCATTATTTTAAACGTTAAGTTGAAGGCAAACAATTCAAATTCAAACAAGGTTTTTATTGGGCTTAGTAATATCTTTTATAATAATGTTAAAGGGCTTCTTTTAGTTTAAATTATACTTCATACAAAAATGTGTGGTAAATTATGTGTTAACACTTGGGATCCATCATGTATATGTTGACAATAAAACAAAAAAAAAACGGAAATAATGAATCAATAAATCCTAAATTGTGTACTGGTTAAATATGTTAAATTATATTATTATGTTTCAAATAAAAAAAAAAAAAACCTAAAAATATATTTTTTTTGAAAAACCAATTATACCTATAATCTTTGTGTAACTTTTAAATATGTTTTTTTTTTTAACCCGAAAAAGTGACAACAATATACATACTAATGTAAAAATAAAGGAATTCGTTCCTTTTTTATATCTATGCTAAATCTAAAATACCATTAGAATGGCACTGTATGAAAATTTAAGGATTTTTAATGTCTGAATTTTTTTTTTTTGACATTGTGTAAGTAATTGAGCTTATTTTTAACACATACACCATTTCAGTCAAGTTCGTACCCAAGAAAAAATGTTTGGTGATGTAAGCGCTGATGAAGGAATTGGAGGGTTAATGTAATCAACATTTATGTTTATTTTAGATTCTGAGCGAAGCGATGAATGTATTGATTTTACCACGATGTGTATTTTTTTTTAAATTTTTTTTTGTGTCTGTCATCACGTTTTAGGGCAGTAAAAGTGCTTAGATTTTTTCCTTCAGTATCTCGTTTGATCAGAAAGTGAATCTAGTTGGTACTTCGGGGGGTCAAAACTGAAAAATTCTTAATACTTTTCTAAATAATCGAGAAAAACAAACTAAAAATTAAGGGAAAAATGGGAAATTTTACGCACACTCAGTTTTCGACAAAATCGATTTTGGTATTTGATGTAACATTAAAACAAATGACTATAGATACATGAAATTTTAACCGAATGTTTATATAAGTATATTCTATCCACTATGCAATTTTCAAAAATTTTCAACTTAAGTCTAACTATTCATAGGCATTTGAAATTTTCGATCATTATTAGGTTTTTTTAAAATTAATATCGATAAAAATTTATATGTTAGGCAGAAAAGCTTAAAAATGTAATACAAGGCTCTTAACATATTGTTACAATAGCAGTTGAAAAATAAAAGAAATTCTTAGAATTTTAACAAAATACGTAAAAATCACAAAAATTCACAAATTATTTTAAGCTAGAAATTTATAAAAAAATTTATTTTTAAATCTAAGA